AAATCATCAAGTACCGAATACCGCTTTTTAAACACCGCACTGTATCTTAATGAGATCTATCATCCCATGAATTTTCAAGTCCATAGCTTTCATAGTTTAGGAGAAATGGCCCGGACAAAAATAAAGTATGAAAATTAACAAAGGGCAATAACTAAAAAAAATAAGAAGTGCAGCGTATTGTTTTTTGTGCACTGCATTTCTTCTTAATTTATCATCCTATGAAGTTTCAAGTCCATAGCTTTCATAGTTAAGGAGAAATGGCCCCGACAAAAATAAAGTATGAAAATTAACAAAGGGCAATAACTCCAAAAATAAAAAGTACAGAGTACTGGTTCTTGTGCACTGCACTTTTATTTAATGTGATCTATCATCCTATAGATTTTCAAGTTCATACCTTTTATAGTTTAGGAAAAGGCCCGGACAAAAATAAAGTATGAAAATAAACAAAGGGCAAAAACTCAAAAAGTAGGAAGCGCAAAGTAACGATTCTTACGCACTGCACTTCTAAACATTGAAAGAAGCATGTATACCAAGTTTGGAGTCAATCCCATATAGTGACTGAGTTATGCTCCGGACAAACTTTAGGGGACGCCGACGCCGATAACGACGCCGACACCACCGACAAAAGTAACCACTATATGTCGCCTTTTGAAGGCGACACAAAAAACAGCAATAAAATGTGCAACGTTTGTCACCCCGTAGCACCGGTATGAGGAATATAAAGCCCTTATCAATACAATATGAAAACGTCACCTCCAATTTCACTGGTTATAATTCCACCAATACCAGATGACATAATAATGAGTCCTTCAACGACTTTTGTATTCTCTCTCCCAAAAACGTCCGGAACAGAACTGTCTCTGACGCCTTCACAAAATCCTTATGGAGAGAAAAGAAATGATAAGATAATTGCATCATTTGAAGCAATAATGAAAGATCGAAAGCTGTTGCTTTGTCTATACAGGTATTGGTTACAAAACAAATAAGTGTAACGGGCCACTGAACAACCGATGTGATAAATCGTTGGAATTTGAGTTACACAATAAAATAGTTAAACATATCACTTGTACAAAAAATACTGAACATTATTAACACTCAAGTGAACGTACAATAAAATAAACAGACTAAATGAGATATAGCATGTTTGAAAGTAATATTTAAAAACAAGAACGTGTTTGTTAAACACAAATGCCCCCGGCTCAGATTCTTGTCAATAGCAATATTTCAAAAAATGTTTACCCATTCACTCAGTTCTGGACAGAAAATTTGCCAAAAAATTGTAAACACAGGTTATATAGCTTGACAAAGTCATGGCATTTTGTAATTGTGAAACATATAAGTTGCCAAGTCATGCAAGTTATCTTCCTACCAAATATAAAATACATCTGTCATTAAATAAAGGCTGTATGGGCAAAAGTGTAAAAATCTATTTTTAGCACTGGTGACCTTGACCAAACTGGCCCCTAACTCTATCCAAAAGAAGAATACCATGTAAGTTATCTTCCTACCAAATATGAAATGCATGTGTCAATAAATAAAGGCTGTATGGGCAAAAGTGTAAAAATCTATTTTAAGCACTGGTGACCTTGGCCCAACTAACCCCTTACTCCATCCAAAGGAAGAATACCATGCAAGTTATCTTACCAAACGTGACATAAATCTGTCAATAAATAAAAGCTGTATGGGCAGAGGTGTAAAAATCTATTTTGAGCAATGGTGACCTTGGCCAAACTGACCAAAAGAAGAATACCATGTAACTTATCTTCCTACCAAATATGAAATACATCTGTCAATAAATAAAGGCTGTATGGGCAAAAGTGTAAAAATCTATTTTTAGCACTGAAGACCTTGACCCAACTGACCCCTTACTCCATCCAAAGAAAGAATACCATGCAAGTTATCTTCGTACCAAATATGAAATACATCTGTCAATAAATAAAAGCTGTATGGGCAAAAGTGTAAAAAAATCTATTTAAGCACAAGTGACCTTGACCTACTGATCCCTACCCCAATCAAAAGGATGAATACCATGCAAGTTATCTTCCTACCAAATATAAAATATATATGTCACTTAATAAAGGCTGTATGAGCAAATATGTAAAAATCAATTTTTAGCATTGGTGACCTTGACCCAACTGACCACAAACTCCATCAAAGTTTATGTTTTTATCGATTATAAATAACATCTGTCTATAGAATAAGGTCAATACACCTGTAAAAATGTAAAAATCTATTTTTAACATTGGTGACCTTGACATTGGTAACATTGACCTTGACCCAAATGACCCCTTACTACACTCAAAGAAGGATGACCTCCCTTGGCATGTTTGTATTAAACTAAGACATCAACTAAAAGATAATGGCTGTATGAGCAAAAATGTTTATATTTATTTTTTAAACCAGTGACCTTGACCCTAGAGACCGCTTACTCCACAAAAAATAAGAGGACCATCGAAGGTATCCACCTACTAAATATGAAAGATATCATTAAAGAAATTAAGCAATAAGAAGAAATTTAAGATAAATCCAACTTGCCGAAATAGGTTAACCAGACAAGGCCCTATTTTCAAAGTGAAAAAAAGGGAAATTACTGGGAAATATGGATGACACAGTTATATAACTTGGCAATATCATGTTCTTTGTATTGATAAGTAAGTGTGGAAATTATAAAGCCCTAAGTATACATAGAACTTAAGATATTTCCAACTTGCCGTTTCAGGTTAACTATTAATCATTTTCTAAGTGCTGAAAAGGGCAATAACTTGGTAAATATGAAAGCCAGAGTTATGTAACTTGCCCAGATCATGTACTTTGTATTGATTAGTAAGTGTGTAAACTAAGAAGCCATTGGTACAGGTAGAGCTTAAGAAAAATCCAACTTGCCGTTCTATACCCTCGCACGGACAGACGGACAGACAGACGGACGGACGGACGGTTCAATTACTATATGCCCGATGACAAAACAAAAAACTATTGGTATATTAACGTAGTTGTCTGTAATTAAATTGATATCCCGGTTTGTAACCGGACAAAGGAGAAGACATTTACATAAGGTCCATAGAGTGCGACCTTTTAAAAGTCCCTATAGCCTGAATTCTTTCTTGTATACAATTTAGTTTGGCTTCTAATAAGCAACAGAACTCGAACATTTTAATGACTTTGGTAGGAAAATTACTTTTCCATCCACATTAATCAAAAATATTTAACATGTTGACATCTATAACATATGTCGACAAAACAAGTAGTTCACACAAACATAACATGCTCAGTAGAGGTTCGAAACAAAAACTTTACCAATAAATGTTGAAAAAAGTAGATTAAATGTTGTAAAATAGCCGAAGTTTAATAAGCTTGGAGCAATAAAACATGCAATGCTTGAGAGAAATGTCGAAGCCGCCAAAACACCAAATATAATATTAAGTCGTTTATATTTTAGTTTAGCATTTACAACCTGGAAAGATTAGAAAAATTACATATATTAATAAACTTCTATTCCTGTCATGATTATGACGAAAATGACCTTAATGAATTAATAAATCCGGATTATCAAAGAAAAAACAAAAACGTAAATCTACACTCTCATTTTTACTTTTAATCAAGGTACCTTACATGTTTATTTGAAATATTTTTCAAATGAGACGTTACAATCGTTTGTATACATTTGTGAAACTATGCAACAAAAACATTTTTAATTTGATTTCATTCTAGTGCGATTACATTTATGAATGTCATTATATAAATATATAAATAATCATTTGTATCTTAGCAAAGTTGATTATTGTATAATCAGTCGAAAGAATTTCGTTTTTCATCTGAAATGAGTAGTTTTGCCCAATGGCATATTTATGCTGTTTTACTCATAACACAAAGAAAATATCGACGACGGTTTATGATTGATATATGAACGTTCATTAAGACTCACCGACTTTTTTCTTGAAATGCCTTTTTTTTTTGAAATTCCCCTGCCCCAAAAACGTCCAAGTTCAAACCCACAAAGGGGGCTAAGGTCTCGTGTGTTAGGAAGCTGCCCCGCATGTCAATCTAACAAAGACGTCGAATCTGCTTTTGGGTTTTCAATACCCGCAATTTTCAAAAATATTTTTAAAATAATTCCCCTTAAATATAGAGTGCAACTTTTTTTTTTTAATTTTTTATGGGGGGGGCTGTTTGTTGTTTTCTTTAAAAAAACCCAAAAAAACTCAAAAAGGAAATTTAAAACCCAAACCATTCGCCAAAACTAAAGATTCTAATATTTTTACTTAAAATTATAAAATGATTTTTTCAATCAATTATTTTTAATCTAAAAACTTTGACATTATTTTTCCCCCCTGGTAGAAAAAGTATCAATAAGGTGAACCAAGAGCACTTTTTGGAATGTCTTTCTTAAAAAGTCCAAAGGTTCTCTGTACAAATGTTGCTGACTCGTCATCTCTCATAGTGAGTTTGGGCTCTTTAAGGGTCAAACCAAGAAGCCCTATACCAACACATATCCCTGTAGAACCCCTGTATATAACATAAGATTAAAGGATACAGATGTGTGTATAATGAATTGATTTATGGAAATAAAATCCCTGACAGACCAAAGGGGTACGAATTACTGGTATATGTTTGAAGAACACGTCCCATAAGTCATTCATTTTTGTTGTTTGCACATGAATTTCAACGCTAAAGAATGAGTTTGAAATATAACTAGAGACCAAAATGTGATTATTTTCTATCCTCTTTACTCGCAAATTAACAACCTTTTGCTAAAACACGATTCATCTCTATGTAGATTAAATATCTTTAAAGAGGCTAACTGGAAAAGCACCGCTAATATACATGTATATGTAATTAATATGTGAATGACAACATTATACAGTTATTTCATATGTAATTTGGGAACAGTCAAACTGTTGGCCCGAGGTGGAGGGGGTAGTGTTTTGAACTGTTGCCCAAGGCCGTAAGCCGAGGGAAACAGTTTCAAAACACAATCCCCGACACCGAGGGACAACTGTTTGACTGTTTCCAAATCACATATGAAATAACTGTTTTATTACCTGATAAATTAGTGTTTTAACAGTACTTGCAGAAGAAAAAAGGAACAAGAAAATAGTTTTGCACATATGTAAATAATTAAACTTATTATTTAATTTTACCCATGAAATATGGTGCTATATCAGTCAAATATATTTCATATTTTTTAAAAATAAATATGAAATATAAATATGAAAGTGGGCGGAGTCAAAACTCATATTTATTTTAAGGGACTTCTTTCGCCGTTTTGTTTGAAAAATCTGATGAATACAAAACAACTTTTTCTTGAATATTGTTTTGAAAACTATCTAGCATGATAGAAAATGGTCTAACTAAGAAAATTAATCCGAACACCAATATGTTTAATTCAGTAATTAACGCTGTACAGACGTTTAAAGTGTTGTTTACATGACGTCACAATGTAGCGCCAAACAGCGCGTGCTTACGCATAAATTACTGCGAGCTGTACAATTGCAGTTGGTAGCAAGCAAGGGGATTCGTTACCATTTTCTTTGATAATGAAATTAAATAAAAAGGTTATTTTTACGTTTTTCGTGAAATATGGTATATATTTTCACTCAACATGATAAAATGCCACATATTTTCACTCGCCATACCGGCTCGTGAAAATATGTGGCATTTTCTCATGTTTCGTGAAAATATATTCCATATTTCACGCAAACGAAAAAATATCCTCTTAATATTTTAACTACATGTATGTCACGTCACGTCTGGTTTATGATCAAGATCGATTGACGCTTCAGGTGGAATCTCTATGACGTCAATGACGTCAGAGCACGCGAGGGAAACAGTCAAAACTATTGACCGGTCAATATTTCGCGAACGATGACGTGTTTTAGAATTTCAGAAAACAGATAAAAATACCAAATTACATTTATATAAGGTATCAGGTAATAATATCAAATATTAACTATAATCTCACAGTTACAACATAGTTAAATTTTATTATACTGCACGTGATTTGTTTACTAATTAGGCCTATCTCATACGCTTGCCGGTTCAAATTTCTGCATTTTCACACACGCCAGAGGTTTCTTAAACTTGTCAATTTTTATTGACATTTTATATAGTAAACTTTTACTATAAAGTGTAATATTCCTTCTAAAACAGCCGCCCAGAAAGGAAGGGAAAGGAGTCAGGGGGGAGAAGGCAAGAACTTCACCTAGTAAACAAAAGACAATGCCAGTTGAAACGGGGTACATTTCATACGAATAACGTCCGCTATCGGCCGGATATCGCACGGATTTGGCACGTATACCTTATACAGTCACCGTTGCAAATCGGCTGCATAACGGATGATAATTAACATTGATCGTACGGTAGTCGGCAGATTACCTTACGAATTTGGAACGGTGTGCAGAAAGAAGATGCCAAAGGTTTTACTAGGTAATCGGGCGAGTACCCTTTAGAAAATGTCCGAAAACCTACCGGACCACATAGGGTGAATGACCACCCTTCTTCTCGTAAAATATTTTGAAATGTTTCTCTGCGATCTCTAATTATAAACGGTGCCCAATCAACTCGCCCGTCCCCGCTTGTTATATAACATAGGCATAATAGTGGTGCAAAAATCGGAGCACCTCGGACAACTTCAATTAGTTTTTCTTATGGAGTAAGTTGGTGCGAGTATAGTTCAGTATTGTATCGTTATGCGGCTTCGTTGAGAAAAAGTAACAAAAATTGAAAATATAAATTTGTCAACTAGATAAGAGCAGAATTGTAGAGCATGATTTGTATTCCTCTGGTCCCCTTTAAGATACTTTGTAATTATCGAATAGTAGTAAATGTTTCAAGGACCATAAATATCTTATTGCATTTATTGCTTGTTTTAAGAAAACGAAAGCGATGATTAATAATTCCATAAAGAAAAACCAGAAAAAGCAGGTCAAGGTCTCGCGAATTGATAAAAGTAAGTTAAGTATGGCCATGTCTTCCGGAGCACAGACGTAAATTGTTTGTTCGCGCTAATAAAGTACTTCACTGCTAATCCCCAAATGACAAGTGTGCAAAACAGTATCATCCATTTTTGTCTGTAACTAGTTTAAACCAGTTATAAAATGATACAAGGTATTGGTTAAATAACATTGATTTATATTTAGCACTTGAAGCTAGGGCCGTCGTGCAATGAATAGGAGAACTTTGTTTGCATCATAAACTTAAACAAATAAGCGGCGTTGTACACAAAGTGCCAGTCTTTTGTTGTATTTTTCATTTCATTACATTGTGTGAGATTAAAGATATATTTTTATATATTTTTGTGAGCGAATATGCTGTTGTATTGAGTGATATACTGCAATATGACTGCAATAGGAATATTTTCTTCATTCGATGTGATACATTGTATATGAAGCGTATTCAAGTAGTTTTTTATCATTTTTATGCCAAATAATAAAACAAAACAATAACACGTAAACATACGAAGCCAGATGTTCAACGGATGCACAAATGTTTAATCAAAAGGAATTAAAGTTTAAAGCTTAATTATTACATTTTCAAAAAGATTCATAGAATCATAAAATTTAAAAGCATGGCAACTGAATTTATGAAAAGTTATTACAAAGAGACAGATTTGGTTTCCTAACCTTCGCAAAGCTACTAAAATCTTACAATTGTTAATTTAGCTGTCTTGGTAACTGATAATATTAAAAAAACATAAATAAAAAGGGTTGCAACACCGACCTAACATTTATCAAATACTATAAATCTGCCTGAAAAAGATACTTTAACTTTTACAATACCTTAAAACATCCCTCCACTTAGCTGTAATCTTTCCTGGCATCACAATATAAATTACAACAGGGACTATAGATCCAATGAACGCTCCTAATCTGGCAAGGAATAAAGCAGCCATTCTCTTCGTTGTAAAATATTCCAAAACCGGAATAAACCCTCCAAACCGAATGAAGCTGGCACCAATTGCTGAAATCAAATTTCTCATTAACACGTTCAATAAATATATCAACATCTCAGACAGATAAAATCTATTGAGCCATTAAAGTGAAATTATACACGCTTTCGTTGTTGGAGTTACATGTATTTCGTTTAAACAAATTAATTATTCATTTAAATAAAAAAAAGTTGTTTAAACGGAACAGTATTTTGTTCTAAACCTTCATTTCGTTTAAAGAATCAAGCGTTTTGCTGGTATTTTCTGAGGAGGACCTCCAACCTGTCGTATTCAAGCTGTTTCTTCCTGTTGTAAAACTCTCCTTATTCCCTTTTTCTAACCGTTTTATTTTACAAAAATATCATTTCAAACAATATGAATTATTGCGATACTTACCAACTGGTCCATAAATCAGGAATTTTAACAATCCTTCGTTACCTTCCAGGTATGACACAATGATAAACGTGACCATTAAAAGGCAAGCACCAATAGCGATAGTCACACGATAACCAAGAATAGTCATTACAATTGCCGCAAGAGCACCTGTAATACGCAAAACAGTAATCACAAGACCAAAAAATCTGGTAAAAGTGTTATCAAAGCCTCGAAGCGAGCTCAACTACCGTGTCACTGTAAAAAATATGATAAACAAGATCAATAAGAAATGGCGGCGTTCAATGATAGCAACCCCCACCCGACCCAGTAACAAGAGCCAGTGGCAAGGAGCGCAGGAGGACGCAAAACAAAAAAACAGGACAGAGCGAAAGGCAGAACATGGGCAGGCTAACCATTAAAATCATAAATATTTAATAACTGATCATAATGAACTAAAAGAAAACAAATAAATGATTGAGAGAACTGCATGGTAATATGAAAAAATATACATGGAGACGAACCAACCCTATACAACAAGGTAGACTAGATTTTTTTATATCAAATAGTTTATATCAGTATATACAAATGTGATATTGACATTAGTTATAAATCTGATCATTCAATAATATATTTAGATTTTTGTTTTAGTTCTGTAAGTCATGGAAAAGGTTTATGGAAATTTAATAATGCTCTTTTGTATGACATTGAATTCCTTGATATTATAAATAAAAAAATAGATGAAGTAAAATTACAATATTGTTTACCAGTATACAATATGGACTATGTTTTAGATCCAAAAAACAAAAATGTAAATTTTTTTATAAATGATGAACATTTTTTAGAAACTCTTTTGATGGAAATAAGAGGTAAAACTATATCTTACAGCTCTTATAAGGTCAAGGAAAGAAATACTTATGAAAAAAAGTTAATTGAAGAAATTGTTCTTATAGAGCTAAACCTGACAATTGAAAATAAAGACAAACTTTTACACTTACAGAATGAATAGACTGAATTAAGAAATAGAAAAATAAGAGGTGGTATGATAAGGTCAAGGTCACAATGGATTGAATCTGGAGAAAAGCCTACTAGTTATTTTTTAAACTTAGAAAAAACACATTGTTCAGATAAAGTTATTCCTTTTCTAGAACTTGATGATGGATCCTTAATATATGATCAAAAAGATATTCTTACAAAGACTCTTACAAAGAAATGTAGTTATTATGAAAATTTATATAAAAATGTTGATATAACTGAAGAATCTAAAATTGATATGGAATTAGAAAATTGTAATGTTACCAAGTTGTCTCAAAATGAAGCATTGAATCTCGAAGGTCTACTTTCATATGATGAAGTGTCTTTTACATTAAAAAACATGACAAATGAAAAAAAACCAAGTTGTGACGGATTTACAGCAAATTTTTTAAAAATATTTTGGAATAGAATTGGACATTTTGTTGTAAAAGCTATAAACTTTGCTTATACTGTTAACTCTTTTTCTAGAAATCAAAAGCTAGGAACAATAACATGCATTCCAAAAGAAAAAAAAAACAAAACATTTTTTAAAAAATTGGAGACCAATAACTTTATTAAATGTAGTTTATACATTAGCTTCAGGTTCCATAGCAAATAGACTTAAACTTGTTTTAAATATTTAAGTTTCAAAAGATCAGACAGGATTTGTTAAAAATAGATATATTGGTGAGAACACTCGATTATTGTATGATATTATGAAATATACTGAGGATAATGATACACCAGGTTTAGTAATGATGATATATTTTGAAAAAGCGTTTGATACGTTATCATTTACATTTATAGAGAAATGTCTTGAACTTTTTCAATTTGGTCCTATGTTTAAAAAATGGATATCTTTATTTTTATATAATACTGAAACTTGTGTTATTTTAAATGGATTTTTATCAAAGTTTTTCAAAGTTAAACGAGGTTGTAGACAAGGCGATCCTATTTCACCTTATATCTTCATTTTATGTGCAGAGATTTTAGCAATAAAAATAAGACAATGTAAAGATGTTGATGATACTTAACTTTTGCTAGATGGATCAGAAATTCCCTTAATACTGTTTTAAAGTTATTAAATACGTTTTCAGAAATTTCAGGATTGAAAGTAAATTTTGATAAAACTAAAGTTATTTGGATAGGCTCTCTTAAATACAGTACAAGATCTATTAAGACAAAATGGAAACTGATATGGGGTGATACACAGTTTAAATTGTAAGGTTTGATATTTGATGTTGATTTAGAAAAAATGATAGAGTTAAATTTTAATAAAAAGAAAGTTAAAAATAGTATAGGATACTGGAAAAAAGAATGTTAACACCAATAGGAAAAATTACTGTTGTTAAGTCATTACTCCTTCCTTTATTCACTCATTGCTTTACAAGTTTACCAACACCTAATTCAGCATTTTTGAAAACACTTAATGACTTATTTTATAAATTTATATGGGAAGGTAAAGCAAAGATAAAGCAATCAGTAGTTATTAAAACATATCAGGAAGGTGGTCTAAATATGATTGATATTGATAGTTATATACATTCTGTAAAGATAAAATGGTTTAAAAGATATGTTAGTAATAGTAACAGTAAATGTTATAAGCTAGTGATGGCTTTATTCAATATTGATAAAGTGTTTAGCACAGGTAAATTGTTTTGTAAATTGACAATTGATAAAATTAAAAATGCTTTTTGGATAGATGTTTTAAAAGCTTATATGATTTTTACAGATAAACTTTGTATAGACAGTTTAGAACAAGTGTTACAAATGCCATTGTTTTACAATCATAACTTGTTAGCAGGAAATAGATACTTTTATATTAATTTTTTTATGAAAATGGAATCAGATTTGTTAATGATATTATTAATCCCCAAGGCGATTTTGTACCTTTAACTTACTTAGAGCAGGTGACACAAAAACAAGAAATTTTTTTACAATATCATAGTTTGAAAAAAGCAATATTATTATATACGCAAAAGCTTAATATTTCTATTTGTAAAGATTTTATTAATGTTCAATTCCCTATTATGAGTTGTTATATTAAACCTATTTTAATTACACAAAATAACAAAAAGAAATATGTTTATGAAATTCTAGTTAGAAATCAAGATGTACCAACATGTCAAGAAAAATGGAACTCATTTTTTACAAATTTTGATATAAATTGGAATTTTATATATAGTTATGTATTTAAATGTACCAAAGATTCCTATATTCAGTGGTTTCAGACAAGAATAATTCATAGAACTTTAGCAACAAACTCACTTTTATTCAAAATGAAAATTGTTAATAGTAAAATGCGTACTTTTTGCAATTGCCAAGAGGAAACTCTGTTGCATTTATTTTGGGAATGTCCAAAAATTCAATCGTTATTCAATATCTGAAAGACAAGATAGATAATTTTGATGATAATTTTAATTGTAAATCATTTATTTTAGGTTCTGAAGTTAATGATTTTAAATATGATATTTTGTTTTTAGAATTGAAAAGATTTATTTATTTGTCAAAGAGAAAAATCATATAACCTACAATACCTGGTTTTAGAAATAGTCTTAAATTGGCGTGGAATATTTACAAAAACACAAATTTGACCAAACATGTAAATGAAGGATGGCAAATTGTAAGAACTTTAATAAACTAATGGGCTACACTAAATTATTTTACCCCAAACCAATATTCTTTGTTTGTTTGAATCTTTTGCATAATACATTATCATACATAATTGTTATACTTATTATATGAAAATTGATTGAATGTTTGAATATAATGTATATTGTAATTATATTATTATAGATGATGATTTAAATATTATGTAGATATCATGTAAGGTATCAGAGGGATGACCCCGACCCTCTCATACCTATTACGGGGTAAATAAACGGGGTTACCCAGTTTGGGCCTCAAAAACAAATGATTGAATAACATGCCCATAAAGTCAAAGGGCACATGGGAAGGGGACAGAAGACCCGGGGAAGGGAGGGGATAAATAAAATAAATAAACACAAGGGGCAAAGGGGAAGATACTAACCGTAAACGAGAAAACAACAAGGGACACAAGTGTCACCAAAACAGTATGAAACAACATTGACATACATCTGAGGAACACAGAGGGGCGCCGCCTTGGATCGGTCAGCAGCATAAATACTGCTGGGGAGTTTTAACCGGTTAATGGTGCACCAAACCACGCTCTTAGCCCCACCATGTTCTTATAAACGAGACGTGTAAATAAAATGAATCCCCGCCAAGTAAAATTCTAACAGTTGTTATGGTTACAAAAGGTTAAATAAGTAAAACACCAAAATGATCATTTTAAAACATATAGAACCCATTATTGAATTTTAAGAAAATTTGTAATTTTTATTGAGAGTGATAATTACTAAAAAGACAATTTTTGTTGACTGGCTGTCATTCTATTCTTGCATGTAATAAGTTTTTCAGACTAACATAGAAAACATGTGGATCACAAGGTGACCGTATCTATTCACCGAAAAATTCAAGATACTATTGGGAGGTGAATGAAATCTAATGTCCACTCATATTCGACATGTTAGTACAACATTCAGCCCGGCATTTCATTTAAACTGAATATAGAACTTGAATGTTAAGCTCCGAAGGCATTAAGAAGATTAGCTTGATAACAGAATGGATATTTGGCTGTCTATTTGGCATCTTAATTAACTGTTACATTGACTGTATTGTAGTAGCAGAACATCTCGCCCGTAACATTAACAAGCGATTGACTAGTTAAATGTTGGGCAAGCATAGCATCGTCTGTCGATATTGTGAAAACAGACGCGACATTGTGAAAACAGACGCTATACTATATTTAAGGTTTGATCTCTATGATATGTAACAAACTTGTATCAAGAGTTGTATTAATTTCAAAATACATTCGGGCAAAATGCCCATGCGTACACAGTACGTGCACAAAAAATAAGCATATAATACAGTCAAATGGTCGATGTCAATACTTTATAAAACATATATCATTAAGTTATACAGTATCTTTTGGCAATAAGAAAACGTAAACTTAAAATAGAATCTACAAACACTTAGTGACACAAATATCAACATGTCTCAAATTACATTACTTAGAGATTTATATACGGCAGAGTAGGGCCGGAAGGTGATTATCTGCCCGCAAAATGAATAATGGCCCCGAGGGTGTAAAAAGGGTCTAAAGCACAAAAAAACAAAACAAAAATAAATGTATATAATAACAGTTTAACAGTGTTTGGGACAAACGTTTGATTGATTATAAAGAAAAGTGTTTTATACATCAAATGCTTTGATATGCTTAGATATATATTGTTTCCAATTTCTATTTCATTTTCTGAATTTATTAATGCAAAAATTTTAGGTATTTTGTCTTTTCCAAATGTGTCATCTTTTTTTTAAGTATATCTATTTTTTTCGTAATTCAGCATATAGCGAACATTCTAAAATGAAGTGAAATTCATCTTCTTCAATAAAAGAAGTTCTACATTTCCTATCATCAAAAGGTATACATATCACTTGGTTTTTTTCAACCTGTCAGTTTCAATTACCAGTCTATGTAAAGAAACTCTAAGCCGGGACAGTGTAATTCTAATTTTTTCAATATGTATACGGTTTAAGTACTTCTGAAATTTAAGATATGCAAATGATACATAAGAAAGAGCTCTAGTTTCTTTGTTTTAATAATTTGATACATACATCTGCATTACCTACACTTTGAGTTAACCATATATCATTAAAACCAAGTGATTGTAATAAATATTTAACACTTCAAACCCATGCTCTTTTCTGCTGGATGTAAGTAACTCTGTACAATAATTGAATCATTCAATTCTGAAATGCAATTTTGGAGTAAAACATCATTTACTTTTTATTTTATTAAACCTAAAAAACATCTGCATTGCCTACACCTTGAGATAACCATACATCATTAAAACCACTTGACTGTAATAAATATCTAACACTTCTAACCCACATTTTTATGTAAGGTCTGAACTCTCTGTACAATATATAATATACTATTTTAGCATATGTTACATCTTCAAGTTGTATAATTTTCGGCCAGTACTTCATTTACCTTATATTGATTCTGTATTACAAACTTGTTCTTCCTAGGTCTCCATATATATATTATTGTTATGAGTTTGTACTCTGAATCCTAAAAATTTTTTAACAAAAAATTAAATGCACTTTTTCTAATTTACAACAATCATACGTACCGCTTACCTCTGAAGCATGGTTCTAAATTTGTGAGATTAAGTTATCAAAAAGGTCTACTATATGTTTAACAGTTATACATGGGAATTTGATCACATCTAGTTGTAACTTATATCATGCCTTCAAATCCTGGCCAGATAGTGTTTCAAAAGCAGTTTTAAAAAGATCCACCGTTTGTAAAGACTACTCTTAAATTAATGAATTTTCGGCAATTTCCAAATTTTCTCTTTTTTATATACGAACGAAATGTGACGTCTTAGTGTGAATTTTCTTAAAATCATTTTTTTAAAAAAAATCTGGAAACAAAGTGATCCCTCGGAAGCATTAATCACAACAAAATTACATAAGAATTGCAGACTCGGTTTGATTGAGTATTGTAAAGACTACTCTTAAATTAAGTTTTCTTTACATTAACAGTTAATCTCATCTTATCACATTATTCTCCAATAACAATAAACTTTATGTAAGTCTTCTTCTGTTTCAGATAGAATAGCAATACCATCTTCATATAAAGGCAATAAGAAATACTCGACTGTCATTTGTCTGAATGGCAAAAAACTTAAATAAGTGTAAAAGAATAGGTCGCGATCTTGTTAATGCTTGAAAGAAATAAAATTGAATTACACTTACTGTACATTTGGATGAGCGCAAGGTACTCAAAAGCAATTTCTTGTAGCGTCTCTGAAGGTATATCGGTATCATTGGACATAGATATCAGACAATAAGTTAGTAAACCCAGTCCTCCAGCTAATAATGCATTGATACCTGTACATGACAGTACTATCAGCCAGGCTCGGAGGCCACCGTTTGGCGGATGTTGTACTGTAGATCCGTCCTCTGGGGGTTCGAGCTCCATGCCGAAGTCATCTTGAATACTTCCCTCCCTTGTCACATTCGCATTAACAGGCTCTGGTAAGTCGTTATCACGTGTTTCCATTTGTCCGATGAAAAGCAGACCAATTTATGACTTATTTTAATCATAAAAATAACAGATTAATCGAAAATTCAAAAGCAACCTAACAGGTTTTCAAAAATAATCTATTAAACGCAGAGAAAAATATGTAAACGTTTTTAAACTACATGCTTTTTACAGCTGTCCTTTGCCTTACTATAATTTGCAAGATGATAAGAGATCAAAGCCTATAAAAGTTTTAATGATTGTATAATTTACGACATGCTCATGTAGAACATGATTTAGGAAGCAAAATTCCAACTCAAACAAACTAAACTTTTCGACGACCCTGTCCTTGATTTATTCAAAGAGAATCTTTTTATTATACAAGTTGGTTATCAGAAAGCTATTAAATCTAAATGCATAACAAAACATAAGTTCTTTCATAGAAATCTTTCATAGAAATCTCGAGCTTTTTTTATTTAGCTGGTCTAGTTAAAATCCACTTAAAACATAACAATCCACTTAAAACATAACAATGTTAAAATATCTATAATGTACAAAACTGCTGATTTCTTTGTACACACATATTTATTTTTAGATGCGAATGCCTGATGCAGGAATGTCATTATTGAAAAATAGTAATATTTCAAAATTTGAAATGGTTGAAAAAAGTAAATATATGTAGTAATGTTAAACAAAGAATCAGTATCTATACTTTACATGAAAACATACAAATTTCTCAATTTTAACACGGCAAACAGAGTAAACCATTATCAGACGGCATAGGTTGCAGAAAATAGAAATTATGATAAATTTTTAAAACAATAATGCAATTTTTATGCCCTAGGATGAATGTACATTTACATTGTATTTGCAAACTGTAGGAATATTTTTTGTAACGCTACATGTGAATTTATGTGTCATAAAAGAAGCAAAAGGAAAACAAAGTAGAATTCAACTTCAAAACAAAATATCAAACCTAATTGCCAAAAAGGAACAGAAAGAAAGATAGTCAGGTAAATTTCCAATAAGCAACGTTTTAGAAACAAAAACAGTATTCGAAAATTTAAGATAGCCAATGTATTTTCATGTTACATATTTATGTTATTCTTTGAGACTAAGGTTTTAAGCATATATGTAGTAATTGAAAATACCTTTGTAACGTAATTAAAATAAATCTAAGCAAAACCTGCAACAACAAGCAGGCTGACATTGCAATATACACTCTTAAAATACATGCTTTGTTTTCTTTTCTATTTTTTAAAAAGTTGTCATAGTTAACGACCCTATTGGAATTTTAATGAATTAGTTGTTTTTTCTCACACAAGCTACGTGACGTATGCTCCCATGTTGCTGCAAAGCTGTGGATATATAGATAGGGTTGAACAAAGTAACATGCATATCCGTACCTTTTGCATGGAACCAGAACTATGTGAAGAAGGTAAAAATATTCTTTTATTATTTAATGTTCATCAAGCCTTTCAAATTAATGTGTTTTGGGTTGTTGTTTTTTAAGTAACGAAAAATGATGTATACCATAAAGATCGTGCTGCCAAATGTAGCAAAATGTAAACGAAGTGGTATTTTTACTTAAATACAAAATTATTATCGTTATGAATATACTTTATGCCTGTGCAAAAGAAGGGAACAAGACCTTTGTGAAGAAGGTAAAATGATAGCTGGTTTGGGCTGTTTTATTTAAAGGTTCATTAAAACATTTTAGAAAAGGCAAAGGATGTATACCATAAAAAGATAGTAAATAGATAGATAGATAATTTTATGGGCGTAAACAGTGCAGTTCTTTGTCGTACATTTGCATATACATATATATCATAATTTTATCATGTGACTTAACAAACAGTGAACACAATTTATATTGTCAACGTATTGTTTGTGGAGGATGAATAAGCTGTTTACATACAAATCGATATCTTACACAAAATCAAAATGAAGTAAATCCCTTCCATAAAATTGGCATAGTTAACAAAGCAAGGATTTCCTACATTGTCCTAAGTAAAAAATATAAAAGCATTGTAAATAATTTTGGAATTATTTCTGCCAAATGTAGCAAATAGTAAACGAAGTGGTATTCTAATTTAAATACAAAACATTTTCGTTATAAACGACTGTATGCCTTTGCTAAAGAAGCGAAATTCTTCAGATATATGACCAGTGAGTAACTTTTTAGAAAATGACATCAGAAATAAAAAGGTTTCACCAAAAGTAAAAATGATTTGAGAAACAAATGTAATCTTATTTTAGCTTAATGGGTTTTTAAACAAATTCTTCCTCAGAAGATATTCACTTGAAAGTTGACATGTATGTCCCTTTAATCAAATGTCTTAATCACTGATAAAGCTGCACCTTTGCATTGAATTTACAAATTTGTTCTTAATTGTACCTTGTGAACTATCGATTTCATTTGAGAACATAACATGCATTACCTATCTTTGCTGCTATTTTGAGGCACATTTCCACCATGTTATATGATGCAAAGATAAAAATATGTAATCTCTAACAATCGTCATGCAAACTGGTAAAAATATTTTCAGTTTATATTATTTCTTTAACAGTGTCAATTGTAAAACGTTGATCTAAGTTATATATTTAGTTAACTGTATGTTGTTTTTAATATTTTGACAACTATTTATGCCCCTCACCGCTGTCGGTTCGAATTCCGACAGAGACTTTGGATTCGTTCATGTGACGTAGGTGGTTCAACTCGGGTGTCTGTTCATACCTGAAATAATGCATGGAAGGACACCAGAGGTCTTCCTCCACCAGTAAAGCTTGAACGACGCCATATGACCTTTATTGTGTCGATGTTACGTAAAACTCAATAAATAACAACTATTTATCTTGAAAAGCTTCTGTCTGCTGATCTATATAGGCAGAGCATCAGGTTTGTAATTGAGGGTTGGTTGGTTGGCTAGATACTCGTGCCAGGTGTTTTTCCCCAAGGATTATTGATCTCAGCACTGAGTTAGAATTTGGTAAGAACTTGTAATGTATCAAGAAAGTCTGTTTATAGATGGATCGACAGCCAATTTATGAGTGAAAAAACTCTGAATTGTTCACACGATTTTTTGGTCTAGACCTTTATCAGGCCTGGGAATAAGAACTGCGTCGTATACCACAAAATGTAAACGAACGCCGCCATCTTTGGACGAAATAGGTATATTTTTGTTTATGGAAATGACTGAAAACCAGGTAAATGTATTAACACGCTCCACTATTTTTCCGCTTCGTTCGATAAACTAGTATGTTGTTTTCACAACGGTTTTGTAAATCAAAAGTTACAGCGAACTTGCAACTCGAAGCGGACTTGAATTATTATGGAGTTTTGTGGATACGACGCATGGTATCATGACATCGTTTATGTGCTTTCTGCATAAATGTTCAGTACACCATTTATATCTTTCAGCTTTAAACTGTTCTACTGGATGATATATTCTTGCATAGCAGACTGGTGTTTCCGTGAGTTTAACCCATGTCGGAAATTTCATCTGGCATGGGGGTGCCAGATGTGTCGCGTGCCAAACAACGTCGTTTTAGCGTACTTTATGAATGAACCGCGTAAAAAATGACGCCAGTTTAGAAGGAAACTATGTGCTTAGGATGACGTCATTTCGCCTTTGTTATTAAAGTTGTAAGTTCATTCGCTGTTGTAAGAACATAGTTATGGATAAAAATGACTTTATATTCCATGAACAAATATCTTATTGAGGTAAACCATTTTAAATATTAAATAATATTGCTAAATATACTAGAACAAGAGCGATCAGTGATCACATGTGTCGCCTCATGATGGCCAATTTCATGTTGGGACAAGTTTTGTGACAGACAAGAACAATGTGTTCCTCAAGGAAGCATACTTTCTGTTACACTTTTTGGCCTTAAAATAAACATTCTAACACTATCGGAAATTTTTCTATATAAACAAAGAAGGCCCGAAGCGTGCATTATTCTACAACAATGCACTCGCCGTTCTTATTATCGCCCTATGTATTTTCACATTGAGGGCGCCATTTTGTTTGAAAAATGTGATAAATAAAAACAATTTTTTGTCGAATTTTGTTGTGAAAACTATCAGGAATGAAAGAAAATGGTCTAACTAAGAAAATGAATCCGAACACCAATATCTTTAATTCAGTCGTTAACGCTGTACAGACGTTTAAAGTGTTGTTTACTTGACGTCACAATGTAGCGCCAAACAGCACGTGCAAAACAAGCAAAATCAAGTACGCTATGTAAATGTCGCAAAGGAGTAAAGTTTTACATTTATTACACTTTTAATAATTTGTATTTTGCTTGGAAAATAATAGACGGAAATAAAATAAGCAAACAAAGTTTTATCAACGTTTTCAAAATTCGTTATTCTCAAAATGTTTCTACACATGGTAGATTTAACGACAGCTTTTTTCAACCCACTGGAACAGCGTTTAAAGAACGTTTCTATTGGAAACTCTGAGGCGAAAACAAATTTAACCACCAAACATAAAGTCCAACTTTATAATAATAATTATATATTTTCTTGACGTGTTAGAATGGAAATAGATATTAATTCTTCGTGCATTATTGTATTTTCGTTCAAATGCTTTGTAATTAATCACTCAGGCCTATCGGCCTTCGTGATTATATTTCTACGCATTTGAACTCAAACCGTGCATTATTCTACAACAATGCACTCAGAATTGATATCTATTTCCTAAATATTGCTAGCGCTCTTACACCAGGCATAGATTGTTCTCTATATGTAGACGATTTTCTTATCTGCTATCGATCGAAAAGTATGAGAACAATTGAACGGCAACTTCAACAAAATTTCGATAAAATTCAAAAGTGGGCAATAGAAAATGGTTTTAAATTTTCAAAGTCAAAAACTCAATGAAAACATTACAAAGCCACTCATCAAAGATTCCATCTGCAACGTTCTAGTAATTTATTGACGCACTAATCTGGTGTTTCGTAGGTTTCTATTACTAGCACGTAATAAGCTAAAAAGATATTTTATTTTAACTGTTTTCAAAATTAATTTTAAAACGCTTGTATCGAGAATATAGTTGACAATAATCGGTCAATAGAAGAAGGTCTTTGGAGACCGGTGACCCTCGAATACAGAAGACCGGAGAGGGCCAATTATAAGGTCACATGTCTGTATCATCCAGACGTTTCAGATTTGTCTTTCAAACGACTTGATGATACAGATTACAATAATATGTTCATGTTTACATTTAATTGGTTTTCATATTTTAATTGCACTTGAATATTGCTTCATAAAGTCGTTTGAAACTACCATATGTGCATGATGTATATATTTTATTAAAACGTCTGTAAACGTTCATTAACCAATCATGTATTGTTAACATATCACTTACTCCTCCATGTAACGAAACAGGGCTCATGCTCCTCCATGCCTAAAAATAAGCTGCATACTAATAAGGTGATATAGATATACTGGTTAAATTGTAAAAAAGAAAGGAAACTACTAGTATTATGTGCAGTTATATACTAGCAGCCGTATTGCTAATTCATTTATTTTTAATTTGACGAACATGCACTTTACTATAACTATTCAAAGTAGTCGTTTTCCCATAAATTTGAACAATTTAGCGTTATTTTTGCACAATTGTTTCAACAGTCATGCGTTTCATGATATAAACGATAATTATTATGTCATGTTTAACATATTATGTATTATAATAAAAACAGATAATGTAACATGAGAACTGTTTCAGATTATTCTGGTCTTTTGAATTCTAAATATTTTTTTATATTTTTAGCTTGTTCCACTGGTGTTCAAATTTCCGACCTTACACTGAATTACAAGTTATATGGAATAAATTTGCTTTTTCGTGTTGCAGTATAACATTTCTTTAACACATTTTAGAAAAAAGTAATAACACTTAATTGTCGTCATTCCGTCCCCCAATTACCCAAGATCACATTTCAATCCCATATTTCAGTAAAATGTTCAAGTAAAATACATATATAGCTATCTAGCTGAATAATTGGGACGTAATACTGTACATACATATCTCAAGATTATTTCTTGTTTATATCATAGCATTTAGCACTAGATTGTTCAGACTTTTCCAATATCGTAATAATGTTTTTTTTTTTAAGTTTTGTTGTTGTTGTTGTTGTTCTTGTGATCTTAATTAACCAACTCATTCCTGGCTTTATATAGTCTTTGAAAAACACAAACCAGAATTCTACAGTACTTATGTAGGCATTCCCGGCATTTAATTCGTTCGTACGCAACCGTTTTATTAAAAAAAAATGTTTAATACTTGAAATGCAAACTACATTTTTTATTCTAATCTAATAAAACGAGTCAGTGTTTATTTCTCATAAAACCAAACATATCAATTAACGATTCTATTTTTAAAAATGGTCAATATTTATAAATGATAAATTCAGAATTTTCTAGATAATTTTGTATGTTATACAAAGCTTTACTAACATCTTTGCACCTCTCTCTCCTTCAACTTGGAACGTGCATGTCTTTGAGAGGCACTGGACATCGGCAGAAGATTTGAAGAACTTGGGGTGGTGAAAATTAAGTTCAGAACCTGTTCCTGTGGACTAGCTGCCGATGACTTGACTGAAGCCGTAGGTCCTTGCAAAGTAGGCTGATACGTCGAGGAAGGGTTCTACTAGAGTTGGCTTGAACGGCGGTGCCCTTTTTTGCATCAACATGAAATTTTCATATTGTCTTATCTTACTCTCTGTTTAGATGTTCATTGACCGCTGTATAGGGACTTACATTTAGCTCAGTATTCATTTGTTTATCATATACTTTGTGGATATTTCACTGAGGTAAACTATTGTCGCTTTGTGTTTCAAAATTAACACTTTAAGGGCATGACTGTCGATATGTTCGAAGTGAGAACTCGACATAAAATAGTGACTTATGTGCCCTAACGTGCGAATGGGACCCTCATCACACACATATACACACACCATACACACACATCTACCAGCCATTCTGAACGATGTATCACCTCAAAAAGTGATTTTATATACGATGTAGTCTAACAGGGCATTCACATGTTATGTAGTTTTACCGATAAAATTATAAGATTTACAGCGTGTTTATATCATGAGATACCGTACTACATTCTGCCCTATCACATGTGACGTGAACTTTATTAAATGCTGCATATTACTGGCCTTATTCACTGTTGACAGAAAAACGTCGCAACCTTGAGGATACTAGTTTCAATAGCGGGCGATAACGGATTAAGACGTATATTTCTTTGTTAGACATTTTATACATTCAGCTACTCAAATCGAAAGTGGAGGAATTAAATGACGATATTTAACCAAAAATAGGTCGTAATTAATAAAAATGGCAACAGGAGGTCGTGAAGTCGCATTGGATGCATTTCTGGATTTTCAATGTTTAACTTGCACAAACAAAGTTGGTGTGAGGTATTGTGTTGAATGTCAAGGTTACTGTTGTCAATCTTGTGTCGACACACACTCGCGATTTCCTACATTAAACTCTCACACACTACTTGACCGATTAACTGATGCAATACAAGGATTGTCGGTGACATTGCCGACGGAGAGATGTGCTATTCACACCACCATGTTAGTTGACATGTTTTGCAAAGACCATGATGAGGTGGGCTGTTCAACATGCATGACAATGAACCACAGGTATTTTATAAAGGATATTTTAAATTAAGTATAATCGTAATGTATTTTTTTAAATAGCGATTTCAATCTTAACTAAAAGAGGAGCGGTGACCAAGTGGATAAGGTGTCTACCTCTCAACCAAGGGATCATGAGTTCGAGCCCTACATTTACATGTATATGTTCCAGTTGCCAACTACCTTCTGGTTGGTAGTTGGGTATTCTCGCAAAGAACAAACTGAGTGTTATAAAGTGCTGTTACCATATTATAGAAAACACATAACTTCTTACATAATTGTAACATTTGATCAAAAAAACTTTCTGTTTTCAGAGGAATATATTCAATATCCGAATTACCAACTACCTTCTAGTAGGTAGTTGGGTATTCGCGCGATATACATCAGTTTTATTACAGTTATATTTATTCTGAAAAGTACTGTCTGTTTTGAGGGGTAAACCATGCTTAGTTTGAATTACCACTACCATCTGGTAGGTAGCTCGGGATTCGCGCGAATAACAATTCAATGTATATCATAAGCATACTACTTTTTTGCAAAAAGAGATGATTATCAAGATATATATATATATATATATATATATATATATATATATATATATATATATATATATATATATATATATAAATCCAATAACACTAAAAGTCAGTACAAACCCTAGACAGAGTGCTCGATGGTATCCCAGAGCTGTATGTATGGATTTATATATTTATATATTTAATCCATATATATATATATATATATATATATATATATATATATATATATATATATATATATATATATATATATATATATATATATATATATATATATATCTTTTTTTTTACTATATAAAGAGGTTTTATAAAATAAAGACAGATTTCTCTGTGGTGTAAACAATTTTCTTTTTATTTTGTGACCTAGTTTCTGAACTGAGATAACCCATATCCGAACGAAATTTTGTTATCATTGAAATAATCATTTTGAAAAGTTCAAAATGAAGATTAAGTGTAAAGTGTTTACAAGGTTTTAATCTTATATCACCTCATAACCTAGTTTTTTTATTCAAACAGTTTCTGCATATAATTGCGTTATTCTTCCCTAAAGAGCAGATGAAGATAAACCACGACCTCTCTGCCAACTTCATTGACTTGTATTTTTAATCATTCCTTTTTTTAAACCGATCATAAAGTTAAAAGTTCCAGTATAGCATAGGACAAAGGCCATATATAATACTAGTCAATATTTTACTTATAACTTTTATTGTGTGTGAAAAAATCTTTTTATTGATTTATGAGTGTACTTCAAGAAAATTGTTTTTCTTTTATTTATTCTACCTCATTTTCATAGCAACAAATAAAAGAAGTGAATAAGTGTTTTGTAAGAAGCCTCTAAGGTGACATTCTCGACATTTTTCCCCGGCATTTAATTCGTTTTTACGAAATATTAATTCGTTTTTCGTAATATAAATTCGTTTTTAGGAAATATTAATTCGTTTTTATATTGTATTACATTCCTTATATTCAGTCAGGAACTTAATTTCGAGGCCTTATTTATAATTATTACTAAAACTTTTTGAACAAATTATTATTTCGTAAAAACGAATTATGTTCCGGGGGGAAAAGTGTGGAAAATGTCACCTTAGGGACTCTGTAGTTTTGTGAGAATATCTTATTGTCTTATATTTTCAACCTTCCAGTGTTGCTTGTTTTAACACTTTGATATACTTGGACTTAAATATGTAGCTGATCTATTTTTAACAGAGCATGTTCAAATGTCCATACCATCCCTGATGAGATCAGCATGTTATTCGATGCAAACGAACTAGAAGACACGAATCGGTGTTTAGATAACAGTGAAAAACGATTTAAAAGTATCGAACTAAAGAAACAAGATGCGCTTGTATGGTTAGAGATGTCAATAAAGGAAGCTGGCACGGCGATCGACAATGCAAAACAAGAGGTTATTGACCATGTAGAAAAGGTTGCAAACCAATCTAAACAGGAAGTGGTGGGAAAATATCAAGCTGCAAAAGATCATATTGAAAAAGACACACGTGAAGCAAATGAAACCATAAATGATTTAATGACGATTTCTAAAAATTTGGTAAAATCAGAGGGTAACAGATCACAACAATTCGTTTGCATGAAAATTGCGAATCGAAAAATGAAAGAAGCCAACGAAAAGGGTATTCTCAAACATAACGGACAGGTAAACATCTCTTTTGATGTAAAGTATGTCATCCAGGATTTTGTTAGAGATATCAAGGACTTTGGTAGAGTAAGCTGCCCTCTGGAAATTAGACCTTACTCTGCTAAGACAATCAAAGAGATGAGTGTAAAGTTACAAGACGATAAATCAACTTGTAATATATTTGGCTCGTTTCTGTTGGAAGATGCAACGCTTCTTTTAACAGATTACAATAATAAAAGACTCAAGCGTGTCAACATTGAAAATATGACAGTTGATGGCTTTTGTAGTTTTGACAAGAATCCCTATTGTGTATGTTGTACTAGTAAAGACGAGGCCGTCGTTACCTTCTACAGCAGTACAACGTTTATTCAGTTTGTCTCCGTTGGTGCACAACTGATGCCTTCAAGAAAAATTAACATAAATCATAAATGTCTTGGAATTTCCTATAAAAATGATAAACTTTACATCGCCAACAATGCCCAATCGTTATATATACATGATATGTCTGGTAACGAGCTCCAAAAAATATCAACAGACAGCACAGGTAATAATTTGTTTAACGATGTTCGAGAAATTTGTTTCAGTGATTATTTACGAGGTGGTGTAGTTGCAGACTGGAATATAGGTGTTATTATCCTTGATGATCAATATCAGCGCGTTGCTGGATACTGTGATCCCGAGTTGAAAGGTGTATCATCAGTATGTACGGATGGTAGAGGAAGCATCTTTGTGTGTGGATATAATTCACAACACGTACTTCAGTTAGGATATGATGGTCAAAAGATTACTGATGTAGTTGACGACTCACATGGCATACAATATCCCGAGTCACTGTGTTTTGATACAAGCAGGTGTAGGTTGATTATAACACAGGGCCGCAGTGACATTGTTAAAATTATTCAGCTGAAGTAGTCTGTGTTATTTCCAAAAGTAGATTTACAAATGATAATGTCGGGAAAATTTACCGCTACTCACTGTCTTTCTTAAATAGTACCAGTTGTATGTCTTGCAAATTATAAACAAAATAAAGTGGACTCAAAATTGTATAATTTCTCTTTATTTTACTTGACAAAGTTTTGACATAAATGATATCCCATTGTATTTAATAATTTATCGTTCAATATCAATTGTTTTATAAATTGTTAATGCATACTACATTTGAAAATCAATCTTTTAAGCTTGAGCTTAATCTCTTATCACACTTATAATATATGATTGTTTGATAATGAGTAAATATGTTGTTGAAGTAGCTTAAAAATAAAAGAGTAGCATACCGTTTTTGCAAAGAACAATTTATCTTTTTACCAGTTGATGTTTAAATATGATGCATTATTGTACAATATAGCCTTGTTATTCATTCCCCGAGTTAAAAAACCCGTATCAAATGCAAAGTCTCGTTTTCATTTTCCGAGTCATCAAGTCCATTCTGAATTATATTGTTCTTCTGCACTGCTGTAAAGCCTACTAGCATATAAGACGAGGCGGTGTGCTCAAAAATGTGCAATTAAACTATTTAACATCCATTGTTCTAAAGGAGTGAAACACGTATATATAAACATGAAGTACAACATGTGTTTGATATGGGACTTTTAAACAAGGGAAATAAAAACGAGGCTTGATTGAGTACAATATTGTACTCAACCGTGTGGAATATGCATGTACATACTATCATAAGCCTTGTAAACAATTAGAATGTATATCACCTCTTGTGGTGTTTGTAACTGTTTTAATAAATTAAGGAATGATTAAAATCATCAGTGTATTCAGATATTAGATACGTTATGTGACGAAAATAGACGAATAATTACGAGCTGTTGACGTTTGGAATGGTTTTGTTAATGTAACTGTTTGAAACTTGCAAATAACCATTGAGAACAACTAGAAATTATGAGGGGCTTTTCGTACTTAACCATAACAAAAATTACATAAGCTTTACATTGGCTCTTTACTATGGGATTTCTTACCACTTTTTAAGCTAGACAAAAGATGAAATATGTTTAACTATTTTAACGTATGAATTTTTTTTGTTTTGTTCCATATAATGAAACAAAAATTTAATTTAAATTGTAAATAGTTTTCAAACAAGATAGAAAACTTTCCGTATTTTGTGTATTTGTTTCTTCAGGTAACAAACATCAAAAATGCTGTTGAAACCATTTTTTAAACGTTGTTAATCTTATGTATGCCCTTTCTGAGGAAGGGAAAGTACTTCATTAACTAACGATATAATGGGTTCTTGATTCATTCTTCAAACTATGACTGACCGTAGGACTGAGTAACGAAAGGTAACATGAACATGAACAATGATTTTACCAAAGAATCTACATACGCACGAAAGTTTGCTTGTCAAGTACTAGAATCTTTTAGGAAACAACATGACAGTCTGTTTGAATAGACTGTAAAACTTTACTGGCTACATAAAAAACATAAGACTTAAGTATATTATGCTCAAGTGAATTTCTGCAGTAAAAAATGATGTTAAAAAAGAAAAGACTTAACATCGCTATAATCCTAAGGAAGACATGCATAATTTAAATGTAAATTGACATAATAACCAGTTTTCGGCATGCTCAGTGTTAAAGATTAATCTAGAACTATTACGGTAAAATATATGTTATCTTTGTGAAAAATGAACGTTATTTCCCTTTATACAACTAATCGTGCACTTCATGAGTTTTAAATATGTAATTACAAAGTCGTTCATGAGATAAAATAATATATATATGAATTGATTAAAAGATAATTAACTCCTTTTAAAGGAATATCTATTTATCCAAATATTTCACTGAAACTGTATTGTACAAAAGAAAGATGAAAAGTTCGAATGAATCATTCTGTGTACATAATAATGTATATAGAAAGTTTGTAATAAAATGTATTTCTGTTTAATTGTGAAACTTATAGTTTAACGAATATATGGTTTGTTCGACATTTGCTGAAGACATTTAATTATTCAAAGCCTCTGTTATGCACACCAGACGTAGCACCGTGCTCTTTGCTGTTTCTCCTATTCTCAGTCCTTTGATTGTTAAAGGGCCGTAAAGGAACGTCAGAATTTCCAGGAATTTTGGCATGAATCACATCCAGTGCTTTATTTTTGTCTGCAACGTAGACAGCAATCGTAACAACAGAAGATACTAGCAACATGCCGCCTCCATATTGAAATTTTTTCTTCAAATCATTATCGTCCCATTTGGTCATCGTTCCTAAAATTCCAAACACGTACGTAACATTGTAATTCAATCTTAAAAGTACGTAACATATAATCATGTACAAAATCAGTTTTGAAAAAATAGTCAGCATTTCGATAAATTTGTCTTTAAAATTCTAATAAAGAGACATTTGATTACAATTTATTTACTAAGAAAGGCACAATTTCATTTAATTTATTCAACAAAAAAGCAATAAAGTGTGCAACGCCTGTCACACCCCGTAGCACCGGTATGAGGAATGTTAAGCCCTTAACAGTACAATATGAAAACGTCACCTCCAATTTCACTGGTTATAATTCCACCAATTCCGGATGACATGATTATGAATCCTTCAACGATTTTTGTATTCTCCCTCCCGAAAACTTCCGGAATAGAACTGTCTCTGACGCCTTCACAAAATGCTTATGGAGAGAAAAAGAAAGCAATATAAGATCTTATAAGATAATTGTACCAATTGACTAAAAAATGAAACATCGAACGTTGTTGCTTCGTATAAACATGTATTGGTTTCAATCGCTGTTTCCAAACATAGCACAATAATTGGGAAAAATGAAGGAACGCGCTGATATGTCTACAATACAATAAAAAAATTCAGGCATTTTTACAGGGGATCTTACGATGTACCTTCAACTTTTTACGATAATCGTAATTTTAAGTCCTGTTCACAAAGTCAATGATAAGCTCCAATTTTATCTTAAGGTGAAAAATTCGCTTACAATATATCTTACAATAAGAAATGTCCGTAGCACGTTCATTTGATATCGATGCGTATGCGCTATATTTGCTTCCGGTTTTAAAAGCAAGTAATGGAGAGCTTGAAATATGTATTTTACTCAGTCTTGTTATCTTTAACATTTACAATCACAATTTCAAGAAAAAACTATTCAAACTGATTTTCATTGGCTAATTATGATGTTCATGCTATCTATACAATCTATATACAAAACTTGAATGAAAAGAAATGATGCAATATTTTCAAACAATCCCTTTTTTAATATTTACGTGGGAGAAAACAAATTCTGTATGTATATTTATTATATTAGGTATTTACTATTATAACTCGGGTAGTTTAAACAAAACAAAAAAACAAAGCACTGTACCAAGATGGTCCTCATATCGATCATCTAGTTCAGGATGTAAGAACCTACCAAATATAAAATATATCTGACGCTTAATAAAGGCTGTATGAGCAAATGTGTAAAAATCTATTTTTAGCACAGGTTACCTTGACCCAACTGACCACTAATTCCATCACAGTTTATGTTTCTATTAATTATAAATAACATATGTCTATAAAATAAGGTCAATACACCTGTACAAATCTATTTTTAACATTGGTGACCTTGACATTGGTAACATTGACCTTGACCCGAATGACCCCTTACTACACCCAAAGAAGGAGGACCTCCCTTGGCATGTTTGTATTAAAATAAGACATCAACTAAAAAAAAAAGGCTGTATGAGCAAAAATGTTTATATTTATTTTCTAAATTGACCTTAACCTTGACCCTAGAGACCGCTTACTCCACAAGAAATTAGAGGACCATCAAAGGTATCCACCTACTAAATATGAAATATATCATTAAAGAAATTAAGCAATTAGGAGAAATTTAAGATAAATCCAACTTGCCGAAATAGGTTAACCAGACAAGGCCCTATTTTCAAAGTGAAAAAAGGGAAATAACTGGGAAATATGGATGACACAGTTATATAACTTGGCAATATCATGTACTTTGTATTGATAAGTAAGTGTGGAAATTATAAAGCCATTAGTATAGATAGAACTTAAGATATTTCCAACTTGCCGTTTTAGATTAACCATTATTCATTTTCTTAGTGCTGAAAAGGGCAATAACTTGGTATATTGAAAGCCAGAGTTATGTAACTTGCCCAGATCATGTACTTTGTATTGATTAGTAAGTGTGTAAACTTAGAAGCCATTGGTACAGGTAGAACTTAAGAAAAATCCAACTTGCCGTTCTAGGTTAACCTCGTAGGGACAGACGGACGGACGGACGATTCGATTACTATATGCCCGGGGGCATAAAAACATCTGACATATTTATGCGGTTCGTATCGGAATATCCGTCCCTCGGGAACCCGCCCATGGGCGGTAACTCGGGAAGCCTCGTTACCGCCCAATGTACGGGGTTCCCTCGGGACTGATATTCCGGTCCGAACCGCAACATATGACAGATTAATAATATCTGTCATATGTTTCGGTTCGGGACGGATATACCTCAATATGATATATGTTCATGGAAGAAAAAAGTCATTTCCTCCATAACCATTTTCTTACAATGGCGTATGAACTTACAACTTAGATAACAACGGAGAAATGACGTCATCCTAAGCACTTTATAAAATAATATATGTCATATGTAGCAGTTCGGGACGAACATTCCGATCCAAACCGCAATCATATGTCAGATATTTTTTCTTGCATATTCTGACAGATTATTTCATATTTAAAATGGTTTACCTCAATATAACATATGTTCATGGAAATAAAAGTCATTTCCTCCATAACTGTTTTCTTACAATGGCGTATGAACTTACAACTTAAATAACAACGGCGAAAATTATACTCCTCTTTTGGCCTTGGCGATATATACTACTCCTTTAGTTTTGGCAAAATACGGTAGTCAGCAACGGCCCGAGATATGTTCCTGATAAAAGTCTAGAAAGGATTAGTCAAGGAGCATCATCGAATCAGTAACAAGAACGACTTACGTTCCCTACAGCTACGTTTGTTGCTCGAAGGGAGGTATTGCACATTCAGTTTGTATAGCTTGACATTCTGAAAACTGAGCATGGCATTTGGTTTGTTTGTTTCATTTTACGTCTTTTCCCAACAGTAGTTCAGTCATATAGGCGGATAGTTTCCTAACCATCGTTCCTAGAGAGAGACTACCTTCCTCCGTGCTAAACTACCAAAGCATCTCCCGGGGATCGAACCCGCGCCCGAGAGGTAAAAGGATTATGAGTCATCGACTCTAACTCTTCGACAACGGAGGCGGTCCCATGGCATTTGGTAAAATAGCTGGAGAAGCATAATTCGACATTCAAAATGCTGATCTCGATATTTGGTATGCGTAGCTGGATATTTGATATCCATATAGCGACTTTCAGAATGTGAACTTTGACACCCGGGATTCCGAGCTCGACAACTGTATGCATAGCCCGTTATTTGGTATAAATAGCTCGACATTCTGTTTGCATATGTCGACTTCAGAATGCTTAACATTCGGAATGTCAAGCTTGATATTCAGATTCCCGGACTTGAATATTGAGCTGTACATACCGAATGTCGAGCTTGGTACGCAGTACTCTTACTGTAGAATCTAGAGCGAGATCGAGCCCCTGGTAATTGGGGGCTGCCTTAACGGTTGAGACATCAGAATTGCAGCAACCGTTTATCCATATACCGTAAGAAGTGTCTAAATAGGACTGAAAACCTAGAGTTTATGTATCTTTTTAACTCCAGCAGTTGTGATGGTTTCGAAGATTGTAACACAAAGGTTAGCCAAAATTATCTTTCCTGTTCCGGCGCCATATGACCTGTGTTGATGCGCCGTAAAACCAAACTAAAAGACAGAGGAGTCGAAGGGTTTCGGACATTCTGAGAATTTCAGAGGATAATTCATACAAAATTTTCGCTAAACTGGACTCATGTAGATGGACACTCTGTAATAAGATTTCCCTTAAAGAAAAACATTGCCTTCTGGCCAACGTTCTTAACAGTTGCAAAGGAATTTACACGTAACTGAACTTTGTTGATTAACATAATAATGTATTTGTTGTCCGACCAGATTCCTAATATTTCAACATTACCTTACAATATGGTATAATTATACTCAGTTCTTTCTTAAATGAGATAGGAAAAATGAGGGTGCCATCCTGTCATTACTAAGAAGAATGAAACATTATAGATGGTGCCCGAGATCGATGCTAAGTATGAGTATACTAATCAATATTATAAGTTCGTGTTTTGATGTGATTTATGTCCATTTATTTCATTGTATCCTGATTAGTTTGAGGGGTGACTACAGCCCCGAATGGTCTGATCATTGCGCACATTTTAGCGACAGTAATAACAAAACAAATATGATTGATGAAATTCAATTATAAGTAGTAAAATTAAGTTAAAATAATTCATAAATATTTACACTGTTTAATTTATCCTAATACGATATTA